ATCAAGACGCCTGCCATTTGATATAAATAAATAAATGATAATAACTCCTTAAGTAAGTCGAATGGTAATGCGAAGTTAATGAGTGGGTAAATTTTTAAGGGCGTCAATTCAGCCGTATTTTTTGAAGGGAGATTTTAAATTTATATGCACAAAGAAATGGAACCTACTCTCGATTGAGGACAAGGCAATCCACACCATTGGGATAAGACGCAATGATATTAGCTGTTCTGACATCTTCACTAAATATGTGGGAAAAAAATACGAGATTTAAAAACGACAGTGGTTTGAGTCGCCATTTGGGCGGGTGGAGTGGTGGGGGTGGGGGTGGGGGTATTATAGTAGAGGCTCACTTTTTGAGTGCCTTCTCACCAAACCACTCTCCTCGACCCATGAGTCGTACAAACGTCTCCTTTCCTTCACCATACGCTACCGGTGTTCCTGAGGCTCGAGTGTTTTGAGTGACCTGAACTTGACCCGAGGCGATAATGTAGAAGGTATCACCGCGTGCACCTTGCCGGATCACATATTCACCCGGTTCATAGTGCACCTCCTCAAGCAGGTCCACTAACTTTGATAAGGTCTCAGGAGGTAGAGAAGCGAAGGTTGGTACACTGTAGGCAATTAACGACAAATTGTGTTATTACTTTATGGAGTGTGCGATAGGTATAAATCCACGTGGTGCACCCTGGGCAACGTATACTCATACGGCAAAAAAAGTCTATTAACCGACAGTTGACTTCTGACTTCAAACTGTCATGGTCCCACTGTATGTCATATTCGACCCCTTTCACAGTTCTCATCTTACCTTTTCTCTACCCTTGTGACTGTCTGTCTCCTTTACATCTATGAAACACTCTTTGGCCACCCCCTCTCGACTTTTTTTCTCCTCTCTGTGAAGCCTGAAGTCAACTAAAGGGCCTGCCTTTCGATATAAATTATTTTATTAATTTATAGTAGGAATATTAGCTAGGGCCAACAAATCGCTTTGTAGCTACTAAGAGAATGAAATGAAGATTGTTACCTGGCTTCGAACTTATTAGAATTGATCTATATAAGCTGCATGACTTAATGGACTTGCATTGGAAAATACTTCACTTGTAAAACAATCAACAATCAATGTAGGTGACATGCCAATTGCTTCAAGTCAAGCTATTCCATGACATAAGCATCTATCAAATTGCAAAATGGGTCTTACTATTCAGTTTTGCAAACTTCTAATTTTACTGATTTATCTCAGTGAATACAAAGATAAATGTTACACAGGGTTTATTTTAACATTCTCATTTAAGGACAAAAGATACATTTAAGTCCGTTTTATTGCAGTTAACGAGGCGTTTAAGAAAATCTAGGCACCGCTATAGGACTTAACTTTAGGCAAACGAGAGTTGAATGAAAACAAATGTGTCGCATTTTGAAGGAGAACAATATTCGCGTTGTCAAAACAAGGTTCTGTCAAGGTGATTTGAGTGAAATCGGAGTTCGATAGTTTTAGACACATGAAATACGCGAAGCGCAGTCTAGGTTAAATGAAATTATGAGCAATAGGCAGGCTTTCGTTACCAAGTCAAAGAGAGGGGCCTTATTTGGTTTATTTCGATAACTGTTGAGTTAAATTGTGGTGTACCCAATCCCCACACTATAAAATGCGCGCCATAACGTTTTGGAGCGTGCGGACGTACGTACAGCGAATTGCCCAGATATTTTGTTATTTGTGCTCACTCAAGTTACGCTAAATTTATTGGATAAAGAACCATGTTTGCCAGCACATGGGGTGTGCAATAGACTTACCTCCACGTGGTGCACCCAGGGCAATGTATACTCATGCGACAAAAAAGTCTATTAACCTGCAGTTGACTTCTGACTTCAAACTACAGTGCCCCAACTGTATGCCATATTCTATCACTTTCACGGTACTCATCTTACCTTTTCTCTACCTTTGTGTCTGTCTGTCTTTTCTACATCTGTGAATCACTCTTCAGTTCCCCACCCCTCGACTTTCTGTTGCTTTGATGTTCCTTCCCCTGTGAAGCCCGAAGTCAGCTAAATGGTTAATGATAACTATCAAAACACCTGCAATTTGAAATAAATAAATGTTTACCTACACCACATAATTTGCTTACAATACGTCTTCCTTCGCTCTATCATCGCAATAGCTTTTCCCACTAGAGATTTCTGAGGTAGTCAAGACCTTAGTAGTGTAGCTATCCGCTACAAGACAATCTATTACAGAGATTAGAAAACAAACCTTTTGGGGCATAGATATACTACTCATTTTCAGCGTGAAAATATTTTCTTGATTCAATTATTCAGCATCTAGTCCACTGGAACTTTCCTAGTTTGATAAATCAATATTGCACTTTGATCGAAATTAACCCCCCCCCCCCCCCCTACCCCGAAATAGCACATCTTGCAAGGCTTAGAATCGATGGTTGACCTGAATGTACCATAGTTTTGCTCGGTAGGTGATCATGGACCTGCAATGGACAGATCTTATCTGATTGAATTCTAAATTTAAAAACTCCTCTAATTATACGAGTTATATATATAATAAATAATTTCAATTACAAACAGAAGATAGGGGTCTAAAAATCTTTCTTACTCAAAAATTTAAAAAGAGTATTTATATTGGTATTACGGTAGTTATTTCTAGGGAATTAAAAACGAAATGTGTACTAATTACCTTTTAAGGAACTCCAGGTGACTTTGATGTTTCAGAATGCCCGTTTTCATCATGATCGCCTGGAACGACTTTCGATCAATTGCCCAAAGCGAGCATGGCGTGAGGGCTAATCAGAAGGATAGAAGAAGAAAAGAAAAAAGAAGTCGAATTGCTGTTAGTTTTATAGTGAGGAGAGGGAATTTGCTTAGTGCTTGGGGCAAAAAAGGCGAGACAATACCTTTAACAGTCGCTGTTCTCATGCAATTGTAGAGAATGGCCAATTCACCGAAAACGGTTGGATGGGAGATTATTCTAAGGGGAATGCCTTCCCGAGTCACTTCGATTGACCCCTCTGAAATGCAAAGAATCAAATACCTTTCGGTCTGAATTCTGCTCCAACTGAGTAAAATATAGTTCTAATTAAGTATGGTGCAGGTATATAATTCTATAAATGGTTATTTCTTTCAAATTGTTTAGAAGTTTATGTAAATACCAGAATATGTCAAATTCTATTAGGCCATGTGCTTGATAGCCCCACATTCATCTCATCTAACTTTTATATTGTTAACATTCAAAGTTTCCGGCTATCAATATCTAAGGATTCGGAGTATGCGATAGACTTACCTCCACGTGGTGTACCCTGGGTAACGTATACTCATACGGCAAAAGGGTCTATTTACCGACAGTAGATTTCTGACTACAAATTACATAGACATAGACAGGCATATTCATCTCCCCTAGCTCTAAGTCGTACTGACTAGTATTACTAATGCCATTTCTATCGATTAAGTTGCGGAAAAATAGAATTGGAAAATCCTATTGGTCAAATTGTGGTATCCGGGCCAATAAGTAAGTTACCCTCTTAATTGCCACATTTTTATTCCAATGTGACTACGTAAAGATATGACCTCTTTCCACCCCCCCCCCCTCTCTTGGGTCTTGTGTGTAATTGCCAATTGGAGATGCTCGATTGATGATGTATAATATTCTGGGTTTAGTGGGCAATAAAACCACTCCATTAACGCAATTGACCATCAGTGAAGGTAAAGAAGATTGCACTATGTTGCCCTCAAAACTTTCTGATAGAGAAATAAAAACACACACACCTGCACACACACACACACGTTTAATTAAATTTAAATGAGGTTATCAGCTGTCGGGCTAATGTACTTTTGAATTGGAGTAGTGGGTCCAGGCACACCATTTCACGTGCCTTTAAACACTAGGTCTTGCCTTACTGTTTTAAAGTAACATTTTGTGAACACTGAATCGTGTAATCTTAAAGATGGCAAATTGTTTTGCAAATTATTGTGCATAAGAAAAGTGTTAGCTAAAGTTGCCAAGACTGAAGCAGACATTTGGAGTCCAAGTTGAACACTACTACTACTTTGTCACGCATGGTGATTGGATAATCGATCAGTGTGTGTGTGTATGTGAGTGTGTGTGTGTTTGTGTCATCTTACCGATTGATGTGTTACCCTCAGCAATCAATAACCAATAAGGAAAAGATTAAAATAATGCAATAGAATGGAAATAAAATAACGGTTTAGATGGTTTGTGATGCGGGCTGCATTAAGAGTCAAGTTTAGCGTAATCATTCGAACTTTAATGTTCTTGGAGTAAATTAAATAAAGTCGCCTTTTGAGGGAAATTTTGCCATCATCCAAGGCTTCAAAGACAATACACCAAATTTTAAATTAAAATTTAAGCAAAAAATTGCTCAAACATTGAGTTCTAGATATAAATGTGGGAGAGTCTCTGGGCCTGTTTTCAGTCGGCAATTGCCAAAACAAAGTGTGTGCATAAATCCCCTCCACTTTATTGTCTACATCCACGGAATTAACAGAACTGCGCATTTAATAACAATAATAAACTGAGTAGGATCCATTTCGGCCACCCCCTCCCCCACCTCCTCCTCCTCCTTTTGAAACTCCAGCCTATTCCAAAATAAAGTGTACTCTCCGAGTTATAATTCATTTCCCTTCATGGATTAGGGATAAACCACACGATTCATTTAAAAATATCGAACTTCGAAGGTCAAGTTATGACAAAAGAAAATAAATTTCCCACTTCTTTTTTACGCAGCGGATTTTTTAATTGAAGAAGGTGGACTCATTAACTATCAGACACGGCCTGTCGGTTTGATAACTATACATTTTCAAGAAAATTGATTTTTTTCTGTTGATAATAGCCGCCTGTAAATCAGTGCGAAAGAGACTCAAAATAGTGAACCTACTTCAATAGTTCATTGGTATGCGCAGTTAAGGATGAAACTATCCGTATCCTCATCGACTTACGCATCCATAGACACTTCAATGGTCTTTGTACCACTATACTACTGTCTTGGAAGATATCAGTAGTATCCAATAACGATGAAATACAAAAGTATGTTAGATTTCTTTAAGTTGCCTAATCACCAGTCAAAATCGCTTTATAGGTCCGATTGATTAGTGTATTTCTTCTATTATCGTAGTTACCTTGCTGGCACATTTCCAAGGGAAAAAAATTGATCACCAAATCTACCAATCCGTTTATATATCTTGATAGACATGCTTTTCTACAGCCAGAGTTCCCCCAAGTTCCACATTACAGCTTGACACTTGGTCTTCTGAACTTGGGACACGCTGTAGAAACACAATTTTTCTTTGGGAAGATCAGTGGTTTTACAATCCTGTTGGCTCTAATCTTGACTCGGTTCAACTCTAAAATCTTCTTGGTTGCTGAGGTAAATGCTACTAGAAAAGTCTTAAGTACCACAAAACACCAAATTCCACTTGATCTTCCTAAAGGTTCCAAAATTCAAGACCTAGATCCTTTCCTTCATCTCTTTCAATAAATTTCTTCCTCAAAACTCTATCCATAATGTCATCTTTTGATCAAATGGGCCCAATAGCAACATCGTCGATCCAATCACTTTAAATTAGCGTAATTCGAACAGACGCGTTTAAAAAATTGTTTATCTCATGTTCAGTTACCCTTAGGCAACTTTTCTGCAAATTTCAACACCAATTATGATATTATTAATGAATAATTATTAAACTGTTTACCTCCATTCTGAATTGAGTAGAACATCTGGTTATAAGTAAATAATGGCATATGGCCCAAATTTGTACATAATTTGATCAAAAAAGGCTTAATTATTTTATAATTGAAATTATTTCATAATATATTGGCAAATAACACATTCTTATTAATAGCCACTTATCACGCCGAGAATAGATATAGGTATAGGCATATGAGTATTCTACTCACTACTTCTCAACAGGATACCAGTAGCTTGGATGTAGGGATAGAAGTCAATTTGATGATAACTGACCACCTTACCATACTACTAACTAGGTAAATAAGTATTAAACAATGTGGGCCTGAATTTTCCTTGAAAAAAATGCACCATTGCTAGAGTTTTGGTATTTGATCAGCAGAACACGAAGCAGATTACAAATCCAGTGAAAAGCTATTGACTTTTTGTATTCAACGCATAGATTTACATGGTTGATGAATATCTTGGCTAAACCAATAAAAAAAGCAATCTAATTAAGTGACTGTCTTGATTATCCGCCATTGGATTCTCATTATTTGATATGCTTTATGTCAAATGCAAATGCTAATTTAGTTTTTTTCGTGTGAGTAAATAATATATTCGAGTTGATCGATCGAGGCAGATCGATTTTCCCTCGTGATACTGGCCAAAAGGGTGTTCTACTAGGCAGACACTAAAAATATCATAAAGGTGTAATTTTCATCCATTACCAAATGTCCATAACTCTCCCAGTTAGTGACAGTGAATTGTCATATTATTTTTATAGTCCTGGGAGGATATGAAAGTGAATTCATGTTAACAAACAGAAATAAAGTTGGCGATGGTTATGTATATGAAAAAAAGACGATAGTGAAGAAATATCGTACCTTCCATAACGTAGACCACAGAGCCAAGATCGCCCTCACGAATGATTATGCTGTTGGAGGCGAATTTGACCGAGTACATGCATTCTACGATCTCCGCCACTTGTGACGTGTCCAGATTCTTCATGAAATCGTTCTCCAAGATGGCCTGATTCAAAGTGTCCCGTGTTCTAAAAGCGTGGAATGTCCTCGATTAGAGTATATATACACATATGCAACTTTCAGATCGCGATCCCACTATCAACATCAAACTCCCATTGACTCCATACAGTTGACGCCTCTCAAAGCACAATCTGCCACACCAATGGTGGCATTAAACAAAAAAAGCTGTAAAATAACCTTGTCAGGATCATTTAGAAAGCGGGAAAAAGAGTTTTTCAGGCCTGTCTTGAATAAAACTCGAAATGGACCACCGCAGTTGACCATTCCCCGCCCCTCTCCCCACCCCCCGGTGGGTGCTCCTGACCTTTTAAAGTCCACTTAAGGGTGTATTTTGAGTGGTCACTCCCTCCAGGGCATTAAGTTTAATGTTGCTTTGTCAGGAAAAAAACTTTATTAACTCTCTCTCTCTCTCTCCCTCTCTATTCAAAACGAGGCACACGTTTTTTTGTTTTCCAATGTTTTTTTTTATTTTGCGCTTTCTCAGAACATCTCCTTAGAAGAAAAAATATAGCATGAAAGCAACTGACAAAAAAATTATTCTAGAGCACTTAGACCGATTTGGGATAATGCATTTTAGTGAGCTAGTGGTGGATGAAAAACCACTCTCCAACTATTGCCATTTGACGATTCGAGCACGAAGTGCATCGACTTACTCCATTAGTCGCCTTGAGTAAAAGCGCTTGTAAACACATAAATTGTTGACCTTAATTGTTGTTTTTCCTGTGGGAAAGTTGAAAACATTTGTGTGTGTGTGTGTGTGTGTGTGTGCATTTCCGGCTTTTTCGTACGTGTTATAAAATGCCACCCGAGTCTGGTGTGGGGGTTTGTGATGGGCCATGAGATAAACAATTCCTCCACCCTCCACCCCCCCCCATCCCTCTCTCTCTCTCTTAAGTAGGGGTGCGAAAGAGACTTACCTCCACGTGGTGTAGCCTGGGCAACGTATACTCATACGGCAAAAAAAGTCTATTAATCGGGAGCAACGTATACTCATACGGCAAAAAAAGTCTATTAACTGGCAATTGACTTCTGACTTCAAAATACCATGGCACGACTGCTTGTCATACTCGACCCCTGACTTCAAAATACCATGGCACGACTGCTTGTCATATTTCATCACTTACACTTTACTCACCTTACCTTCTTCTCTACCTTTGTGTCTGTCTGTCGCTTTTACATCGATGAATCACTCTTCTGTTCCCTCTCTCGACTTTTGGGACTTTGATGTTCCTCCTCCTCTCTGTGAAGCCCGAAGTCAACTAAAGGGCTAATGATAACTATCATAAAGCCTGTCATTTGATATAAAATAAAATATGGTCCCCAAGTCACCATTCTTTCATATCAAAACAAAGACACACTTCGATCCTGTCACCTTGAGAGTTATTTGAATCTAAGGCTGTTGTCAATGTAGTGGGATTTTCATTTCCAAATACCTCAACCCTACAACGAAAGGCTTATTCGCTATTTTGATAAAAAGCCCACATGGCAAAATATTCCACTTTCGTGGTATTTTTTGCTCCGAAAAGACATTACTGCTGCGTGTCATTCGTATGCGTAGAAAACAGTCCGAAATTATGCACCACAATATTTAAGCTACTGAATTTCTATCATGTTTTCTTTATAATTCGTGGATTGTAGGGAAATTCTTGACTGTCTTCGCCTAGGAAATGAGGCAAGGGGTTACTAAGCAAATAAGGCTCAGTAATCTCTATATGGCAAAACATCCCAGCACGGATAGGCTCCCTGAAACCGGTGTAAAGCGAGTATTGAATTTGTGCTCACATCTAATAACGTAACTTGAAAGCACCTTAATAGGTGAATAGCTGAGACCTTCTCACCACGCACCCACCAAAGTGCTCGGATGAGCGATTTAATTGTTCTAGGATTGCGTACTCCACAATTTCGATTTCTAAACAATCATCCACAAATCTGAGATGACAATTAAAGTAGAATAGTAATGTTCAAGCAAAGTCCAATATATATATATATATATATATATATATATATATTGCAAGTTTCAACCAAGGTAAAGTTTTGAACACATAAAAGAAGCTTTACACTTGCTTGTGTAAAAGCGAATGGTCTTATTATTTTGGAGAAATTATATCAATCAATTTTTGAATTTCCAAGGGATAGTTTTCGTATAATTATGTAGGGTTCCGAAAATTTTACCCCGTTAAATTGCTATGATTAATTTGACTGACTAATCACATTGCCTCAGTAACCACGAATTAGCTCTCATTTCACAATTTTAATCATTTAAATAGGAAAAATTTATAACTTTGCTATATTTTATATCAATCAATTTCCAAAAAAACAAAAATCGAGTTTCAAAGGAAGTGGTGAATGATCTACTAATCAAGACTCACCAAAAGTGTCTTAGATATATATTCGAAGGCATGTAAAGTACTTGCCTTGTTGAGATAATTTCGTTGAAATAAAGCAATGAGGGTCTAGGAGGCTAATAGTGGAAAGAATTCAATCAAGAAGCTTAGGCACACAAAGTAGTAATGTATGGACAACTAGAAGTAATAATTTTAAAAATTCACTTCCAATCCCTCCTAATTCTTGACCAAGAGTCAGTTTAAACGTTGCGACCAATTAGCCCACATCGCGCGTTGCCACAATTTGAAAAATAAGCCTTTTTTCGTGCTTATTAAAACAAAAGTCGAAAAAAAGAATCCATTTTCAATTACTGATTTCAATACATGACCATAGATGAGTTGAAGCAGAGATTGTTGTTCCACCAACGCTGGTGTCTTTTGTTTTATTTGCGACGGTGGTCTGATGATTGGCGCTCGTGATAGCCTCATTAAAAGACGTAGAGTGCTCCATGATATTGATTTTGTAAATATTCAGTTCAGGTTGGTGTTGGTGCATCAATTTAACAGTGTTTAAACCGACAATTGATGCAAAAAGCGAGGTCTCTAAGTTAGCAGAGCTCGTGAGGAGCTAAATGACACTAAATTTTAAACAATAATGTTTTTGAATTTCACTTATTTAGGTACTGTTATTTCCATTTCCTTTCATAATTACTAACTTCTCCGTTTGAATGACTCAAGGATATTGAGAACGCTCGATTTTTAACCAAGCGATAAAGTTCCTAGAATTTCCTAGGATATTTTCAACTAGACACTTGGTGAGAAGTTATTTGCTACTTTGCAAACGAATCTGTCATGGCTCGAATTTCTATCGTAAACAAAGTGGGACTCTTTAATAAATGTGACGAAGGGACGCCTATCACGACACTTTCAAGGTCACGTTTATTTATCTAACCGTTCAGGCAGACATATAGATAGGAGGTTTACGTATAAGAGGTTCTTCCTTAAAGTGAACTGCGTTGCAAATTTCACCTTGCGGAAACACATTTCCACTGTGAATTTGGTTAAATTAAGTTAGAAGTACATGTTTACATGGTAATAAAAGTGGAATAATTTTAGTATTAAATATTTAGGATCAGGAGTTGATTAAAAGTGAACAGATCAAGCAGCGGTTGAAGTAATGAACTTTCAAAGAGATACGAAAATCGAAAACCCCTTACAGATACATATAAAATTCATATCTAGTGGAATGGCAGTCTAAAAACTACAATTTCTGCATGACTGGAGTTGCGATTACGCGCGTTTGGGTTCTTCGTTCCAACATCTTCACTCCTGGAGAAATTTGAGCACCTTCAGGTGAAAGCACTTATGGTATTAGTGAACATTTTTAGTATGTATTGCCTATCAATAGCGTTTGCTCGCAAATGCGAGCAAATTTCTAAATTTACATCCGCAAGTAACAAATCTAAATAAACATTTATCATCGAAAAAACGTTATTTCTTTTCCTGTCTAAATAATAACAATAATATAATATATATATATAATGATATAATAATAATTATTATTATTATTCAAAATGCCCAATTTAATTGTTCCAAAATGCACTCGAAACTAAGCATTCATTTCAATAGTTAAAACTGTGAATAAAAGGAAATTTTTATTAAAAAAATAAATGATAAGAAGCATGTAACAGAAACTTATTTATCATGTCGTCTTCACACTTTATAACTTTGTTTGAAAATATCGTAATTCAACTTTATTTACCCTCGAGAGATGATTGGTGTGGCAAAACCGGAGACAAAGAAATATTATCTTAGCATATCATCATCAGGAGAAACAGACTGCTTAATAAAGCAGTCCTGTCATGGGGGTGACATTTTGGAGTGAAAAGGGAAAAGCCGGGTTTCCATTATAATTTAAGCCAAGAAGTCACCCATTGAGAATGAGAGAGGAATTTTGAATTGAGCGGGCTGATTTTAGCGCTTAAATGAAAGTACATTTAAAGGGTACCATGCACATTTTACCAATCTAATGTTTAAACAATAAATCGAAGTCAAATCAGGGCTAATGATAAATATCACAAAGGCTGCCATTTGAAATAATAATAATAATAATAATGTTTAAACAAGTTTCGATTCAATGTATGGTATTTGTCATCACCTTCAAACTCCGTAAAGACAATCGATTCTCTCAATCATTCCGAGCACTTTAGAGACCATTCGACCACAGCTTACAACTTGCCTTCACGCCATTGAATTATATTGACTAATTCTGCCTGCCACCTTCTCATTGGTTGCATAGTTTAGAGTAAATAGCCTATATTCTCAAATTCGTCAATGATGCATGTGAAGTCCTAAGACGTAGGAATGAGATAGGGTCAGTAAATATGGAAGTATAATTTGAATAGTGCAGAAATGTGATATAAAGTTGCACCAAAATCTCGAAATCGCCCCATCCTTAAAGGCTAGCAAAACCCGAATGACTTTACTAGAAATCAGAACATTGGCCAATGAACGAATCAAAATGGTGCTGAATGCCGCATCGAGACATTGGAGAAATTGCGAAAGGCTGAAGGAGATAAAAAAATTGAAGCGATAGAGAACAAATGCTCCAATTGTCTCTCAAAACTGAGAGACGAAGTTGTGATAAGTTGAGGTGAATTGTCCGTTTTCCTTCCTCCCTTCTCTTTAATAAGTAATAAAGCTTCCCCATTATCTGGTACATAACTTGAGGTGTGCCTTCCACAGAATCATATGAACACTTTCACTTTCCCAAAAGTTAATTCACTTGAAAGAAATCTGCTCAAACTGTTGCACTCTTCATACCATAAATATGCTAACTAAATTTCCGTTACCCATAAAATCGATAATCGTGCAAGCTTCAAATAACTCTTGACTTAAAAACACTAGCCTAGGCATTAATACGATTTAAAACAGCTCAATTGGCATTTCTCTGTAGTAGGATTGCCTGGAGAACCTTCATTTAGTGGGGGGGGGGGTGTAAGTATTTTATTAATGAAAGTAAGGCACAATAAGGAAATATAAGGTGCCTTCATTATTATTATTATTATTATTATTTCAAATGGCAGGCGTTTTGAATATTTATCATTAGCCATTTAGCTGACTTTGGGCTTCGCAGAGGGAGGAAAATCAAAGTGAGAACAATTCGGGAGGGGGAACAGAAGAGCGATTCACAGATGTAGAGGAGACAGACAGACACAAAGGCAGAGAAAAGGTAAGATGAGTACTGCGGAAGCTGTGTAATGTGACATACAGTGGGGTGATGGTAGTTTGAAGTCAGAAGTCAGCTGCCGGTTAATAGACTTTTTTGCCGTATGAGTATACGTTGCCCAGGGTGCACCACGTGGAGGTAAGTCTATCGCACACCCCTAAGGTGCCTTCATGATTTTAGGAATTAGGAACGCGAATTGCCCATTCAGTAAATATTGTGCAGACAGTGTAAAAAAAACGTTCCTTCAATCTCTTGGCACAATTAAAAATTGGCACTTTTTGTTTC